ATGCTCTGCTCAGGTCCCTTCCGACCCTAGAAACTATGAATGCATCGTGGACCTACCAACCATTAATACATGATATTAAAAAATTTTTGCTTACTTCCTATTGGTTTGTGAATACTTCCTGTTTTGCAAATATGAGTTTGAACTCAGAGGTAAAATAAATGGATGTGTTTCCATAATTGCTCAACTGAATGTGCTCAACTGGAAAAATAAACAAAACAGTAATAAATATCCTATTTCACATAATAACTAAAAGTGACGGCAACGAGAGCACTAGAGAAAGGATTTTAACCTCATTGATCAGCCAAACAAAAACAAAGAAATATAAAAGAGAAAATGTTTTTGCTACTTCACAGTACCTAATAGGCTTTATACCTTGAGGGCTGATACCACTCCCCACTAGCACAAAATCTCTCTCATAGAAATGACTTAAAGCTTTAAAGTTGTAAAGTGGTGAAAAAATGTTTCTGATTTTTATTGCCAGTACATAATTCCATGAAAAATATATATATATATGCTACAGACACCATACAATCATCCACGAAAAATTAAAAATGCCATTGAGCTGACAGCTTAAAGGCACACATTTTCAAACTGGGCATTTTTGTAACCACATTTCACATCTTTTATCAATATAATTCAGTATTATGGCAATCTGTTTTTTCTTATATGGCATGCAGTACTACATAGAAAACAGTCACATCCACAGCTATTTTACTTACATTTCTTTGGAGTCTGTTACCTCGTTGCTTTATGACCAGGAATAATTTTCTATTTTTTTTCCTTTTTTGCTTAAACTGGTGCTTTCTCCAAGAGTGTCTTCTACCTCTACAGCAGACAGTAAGGGCAAACTTTCCTTCAGCCTTTGCTTAAGTTATCTAATATAAGAATGAAAAACAAAGAAGGCTAAGTGTAAATTGTTATGCTATGTACTATGTCAAGGAATTACAGTGATCTTCTAAAAACACAGTAGATTTACACAACACTATACTTATTTATTTTATATATATCTATTAGGCCTTCACAAATTGGCTAGTATTTGCTTCAGATTTGGATTTGGTTGATGCAGGGGACAGTCATTCGATTCAGTGATTTGAATCACTGTCCTGAATTAATTCAGCCAAATCTGATTTGGAGATTTGGCTGCCCCCTAACTTGGCCAAATCAAACAGGCCTCATCCCCTGCCCACTCTCCCAGCCCTGTCAATGGCTGCCCCACCCGGCCCCAGCATCCTGGCTCTTTAAAAAAAAAAAAAAAAAAAAACCCCCCCCCCCACAAAAA